AGGATTAATAACAGTGACTGTGAGAGGGATCTTGGAGCCTTAGTGGACAACGAGCTAAATAGGAGCCAGCAGTGTGCAGCGGCAGCCAAAAAAGCCAATTAACAGAAAGATACAATCAAGATCAAGTGAGGTACTAAGCCTTAGTACCCACTTTACAAAGCCTTAGTAAGACCACATCTAGAATACTGCATCAAGTTTTGGTCACCACATAATAAAAAATATGTTGAGAGTCTAGAAAGAGTGCAGAGAAGAGAGAAACAGGATGAGACTAAAACATATGAAGAACGGTTGCAGGAACTGGGCATGGCTATTCTAGTGAAGAGAAGAATCAGGGGAGACATGATAGCCTCTTCCAATATTTGAGGGGCTGCCACAGAGAGGAAATGGGTCAAGCTGTTTTCCAAAGCACCTGAAGGCCAGACAAGGAATAATGGATGGAAACTGACCAAGGAGAGATTCAACCTGGAAATAAGGAGGAACTTTCTGACTGTGAGAACAATCAACCAATGGAACAGCTTCCCTTCGGAAGTTGTGGGAGCTTCATCACTTGAGACTTTCAAGAGGAGATTTGATTGTCAGAAATGGTGTTTGAGCGGAGGTTGGACTAGATGACCTTCAAGGTCCCTTCCAACTCTTTTAATGTGTAAATCAGTTCATTTAGTGAACGTACAACAGCAAGTTTGAATTTTTTTCTGTCTTGTTTATAATCCAATGTGTTTCACTAATTTAGAAAATTGTGGGGATCCAGGAATCAAGTTTACAAAGTGAAGATCCATTCAGGGTATTTTCCACTTATTTTATTTCTTTTTTTTCCCCTCTGGTAGCAGGGAAAAGAATTAGGACACCTCCATTCCTTTAATTCAGTAATGTATGCTATTTATGAGTATAGAAGTTTGACGCCACTTTAACAATCATGAAACGAAATGGCTGGGGTGGTAAAATAGTGCTGGGTTTCAAAAGGCAGATATATTTGCCCTTCTTCACCAATTGGACCTGATCTGTGTCACATCAGGAGAAAAGTTGTGTACTTAGGTTGCATAAGTACACTATAAGGACGCTTTCCACAGTAGAAAATCGATTGTGGTTCAATGACAGCTGAGAAAATTG